CTTTACCCCCGAGCCTCAGGGTTTTCATGCATACGATGGAAATTATAATTATTATCTTACAGAGATGTGGTAAATTGAGAAGAAGTACAACTTAACTTCCCCACACCTCAGTTTCCTCATCTGGAAAATGGGCACAAATCATCTGCATCTCACAGAGCTTGGGGGAGGATTCAAATGAGATGGTACATGCAAAGTGCTTACCTTCTAAAGCACTCACAATGATTCCTAATTGGGTCACATACTTAACAGCGATAGTAACATTCAGTAAATGCTGGACCAGCATAGCACTCTGGCTGTAGAAATTTCAGCTTCTGTTCAGTTTGTTACCAAAAGAGCTTCCCTAAAATGCTTTCAAGCCAAGAACCCCAGGCATATAAATACTGCTCAAGGTGTGAGGCTTTGTAAATCTATACTTGCAAGCAGCCACCACCAGCCCCACCAGGNAATGCTTTCAAGCCAAGAACCCCAGGCGTATAAATGCTGCTCAAGGTGTGAGGCTTTGTAAATCTATACTTGCAAGCAGCTACCACCAGCCCCACCAGATAACCTGTGGGGCCCCACAGTTCTCTCCAGCTGGACATCTCTGCCCACTTCTCTCATTCATCTAACCCACAGCTCCACGGCCTTCACTTATAAAACGAAAGTAGGTCACCTCGGATAGTTCAGATTTAGAGGCAGGAGAGACACAAGAGAAAGGGGTGGAGTGGGTGGCGCCAGTAGCCAGGGATAAGAGGTGGAGAGCTGAGGGATTCATAGATCTTTTATAACTTTATTAGGGAAGGGAGGGAGAGAAGGAAGGACGTAAAGAAGGCAGGGGAAGGAAAGAAGAAAGAGAGGGAGAGAGGGAAGGAGGAAGGGAAGAAGGAAAGCTGGAGAGAGGGTGGAGGGGAGCCCGGTTGGCAGGTGGCTGATTTGCAGGCTGCAGGGCAGACAGTCACTGCAGCCTCTGAGACCAATGGCTGGAGATGCTAAATGAGCAATGCTGTCTGCCGCCCATTTAATTGTCTGGGGAAACCACCGCGATGGGGGGAGGCTTTATGCTCCGATAAAGCTTTCAGAAATGTCCCTGGGGCTTCTCTCCCTCCAGGTGACTCCCATTTAGGCCAGTGTTAATGGGTCCCCTGCCAAGAAGCCCTTGTCAGACTGTGCAGTTAAAAGTGCCTCATTCAAATAACCACCATCAGAACCAAACAGGCCTCTAGGCTGGGAAGGTGAGCTCAGTTGCCAGTTCCCGGAAAGCCCGGAGCAAGGCAGCCCTTTGAGCTGGCAACCCTGGCTCTGTCACCCTCCATTCTCCAGGGGACAGCAGGGCTGTGCAGACTCAAGGGTGCACTGTGAATAATGCTCAGGTGGGGCAGGGCACTGAGTACAAACCCAGGATCAGATATCATATTGATTCCACCGGAGCAGGCGGGGGCGAGGAAATGTGAGGAATCTGGAATTTCGCTCCCAGGGAGGCTTGAAGCCACGGGTATGCCTCACTTTCTCTGCACCGGGCACTGGGGATGCTGGGTGAGCATAGTGGGCGAGGCCTCGCTCTCAAGGAGGGGAGACAGAGGGCAGGTAACCCAATGAGCAAAAATGATTTCAGATAGGATGGTGTGCTAATGACTGGTCCAGAGGGGGGCGACAAGGAAGAGGAGTATTCGTGTTATCAGTTTCGATCGTCCGGGGGGCTACTGGAGGAAGCCCAGTCCCTGGGAAGCACCCTCTGTCCTTCTAAGGGTCCTTTCTCTGTTCCTTGTCCACGAGTCAAAAAAAAATGAAACCAAAGCTGAAGGTTCAGCAGCACAAACTGTATGCAATGGCCAGAGAATGGAGAGGCGGAAATCAGACACACGATCAGCTTCCTGTTCTAGAGAAGTCTGGGGGTCATTATTGTGGGGATAACCAAATGAGGGGCAGGCATATGCATTCGTTTTCCGGAGAATTGGGGTGCCACCCATTTTCTTCCCTTGTATGGTCCCAGTCGGACCTGTCCTGGCGCCAGTGGGTGTGACAGTTAGCATGCTAATGTATTATAACCAGGGTTTAATGAGGTTAGGGTCTCACTGAGGTCAGATTCTGCCCCACCTCTGTTCCGGCCAGCTTCGGTCGGCTTTTTCTATTCTATCCCTCCTCCTTCCTTGTTGCTGTTTTTCTTCCTGAAACTGAAAAGGAAAGATTAGTACACCTGGTTTCAACAGCCAGGGCCCTGCAGCCATGGTGCCATCCCGGTGAGGGTGACCGGGAAGGCCTTTCTAAGGGTACGAACCTGGCGAAAGGAAGATCTGAGGAAGGGGTATGCCGGGGGGGTGAGGCCAGGCAAAGGGCCTGAGTTTGGACCAGTTTAGCAGAAAGAAGGTCGATATGGCGAGAGCTTAGTGAGTCCGTGCGAGATAGAATCAGAAAGGTTGGTCAATGGAACCAGCCCCCAGGAAAGCTCCCGTGGACTTTGAAAACTGAGTCCGCTCCCCAGTCCAGGAGGGTGGTAAGGATTTGAGCCTCGATACCTTGATGGCTCAAACTTGAAGGCAGACAGACCTTCTACACCACCCCCCTATCCTGGAATCTTGAGCCTCATTTAGCCTGGAAAAGATAGTCTGTGTTTCTTAATTAGTGTTAATGCAACACGCTGATTTCCTCCAGGCGCAAGGACTTTCTGAGCATTTCTGACTATTCAACCACATAGTCTAATCGATGTCTCCCCTACCCCCCAAGCAGTTTTATTTGCTAATGAAAACTCTGTTCAAATGAGTCGTACTTGAATCAGATCTTGCCTTCTCTGCCTTTGACAGCAAGCTTCGAGGAAGCTCCTGGGAGTGTTCTTTCTGGTGGTGTTCAGTTTGGGGGTGAAGGTAGGAGTCGTTTCTTGTATTCACTAAAGAGTGGGTCAAGTTGCCCCAAAACAGGTTCAGAGTATCTGAATCAGTGACTGGCAGCACTATAACAGGCAGGAACAGGGAGCGTGACATCATAACTCAAAGAGCCCATCACAGAAGAACAGAGGCCCGGATCTAAATCCAGCTGAGTCTTTAATGAGCTGTGTGATTTGAGAAAAATTAATTGACCTCTCAGAGACTCTGATTCTCCAGCTGTAAAATTTGTTTAATAGATTTCACTTTCAAAGTGATGTGGAAGGGATTAAATGATGCACTAAATTAGTTCATGCATCTCAGAATGCCAATGACAGTGCATAGCGGTTACAAGTGAGGGCTCTGGAGCCCGGCCACCTGGTGCACATCCTGGGTCTTCTCTTTGCCACCATCATGACTTTCCACCAAGGACCTAATTTCTCAATACCTCAGTTTTCTCATCTATGTATGGCAGTAATGATGGCACCTGCCTCATTTGATTTTTCTCTAAATTAAATGAGATGGTACAATAAAGCACTTAGAACAGTGTTTAGAACACATTGAACACTCAAAAAATGTTAGCTTTATTATTTTAATGTGCTGAGTACCTGAGACACAGTAAGCACTAGATAAATAGTAGTCATCATTAGTAGAAACAACCAATCAACACACAGAAAAATCCAATCTTAGCAGTCCTGGCAGAGACGCTGTCTCTCGAGTTCTCAAAAACTTGAGCATGCATCACCATCACCTGGAGGCCGTTAAAACACAAATTGCCGGGTCTCACTTCTAGGATTTCTAACTCGGTGGTCTAGGATAGAGGCCTGATAACTCAAATTTGTAACAAGTCCTAGGTGAGATGCCGGTGCTACTGGTCTGGGGACACATTTTTTAAAAATTTCCAGACAGATTTTATTAAACTTATGCTCGAGCACAGAGGAGGCAGCACACAGGAAAGGAAGGTCCTCTGAACTGGCCTCAGGGAAGACACTTTGAACTTTTGATTTAATAGTTGAACTCTCAGGGAACCATCTCATTTCCAAGGTCAGGCCCCAGTAGCCACCTGTCAGCCACGGTCCCATTTCACTGCCCCGCCCAGCCCACCTGGGAAGGGGTCACCAGAATTCCTTCTCACATCCCCTTCCCTGATGTTAAATACTGCTCTCTCAACTTAAATCAGGAGACAGCCAGGGAATCAACCTAAAAAGGCCAAGCCCTTCCCTGAATCCCTCTGCTGAGAAATAGTTTTCCAGAGATACTCTAGCAGCTGTCCAGCCTCTGTCCAGTTCTGGTTCAAGAAGAGTTAATGATATTTTTTTGTTGTGTTTTGATATATCCCAAATATGAAGGGGTAGCAGTTCCTCTAGTTCCTACCTTAAAATTAAATTGGTATTTCTAGGGAAGAGTAAGACTAGAATGATTCAGAGCTGTGTTTTATAATTCATTTTTCTAATTCCCTATGTCCTGAATTTCATTAGCTTTATGTTAACATGGCGACCCAAATTAATTTTAGACCAAAGTCAAAATCATTATTCTTTATTTTTCTTAAAACACATTTTACCTTCAGACACTTGGTAAGTAGGAAAATGCAATTCACTATTAAAATGGACCTTGCTAGTTTGCAGTATTATCTTTAGAGGAGTGTTGAGGGGGAAAAATAAATAACAGAATTATAAAGAAAAATCTATAGAAGAAAAAAATGAGATTAGCACAGAAGGAAAAATAACACTGCATGCAGATGCAAAAAAAAAATGGTTGCAAAATATTTTTTAATGAAAGGCCCATTAATAAATGTAGTTTTGGCTGCATCTACTGAGCTCCATTCTCATTTTGAGAAAACAGTTTAGACAATATGTAAATGAGTGAGTGTGGCTATGTTTCAAAAAAACTTCACTTAAGGACATAAAACTTGAATTTCTCACAATTTCTACATATCACAGATATTATTTGTCTTTTTGTTTTTTCCCCTAACATTTAAAAATGTGAAAACCATTCTTAGCTGATGCACTGTACAAACAGAGAAAGTAACTGGGTTTGGCTCACAGGTCCTAGTTTGCTGACCCCTGACCTAAGGGAAGCAGTCTACTTTAAGCATTAGCCCTGCTTTCAAAAATGCTACCAGTACTTTCAGAAAACATCAGACAGGCTTATTTTACTTTTGCCGACATGCTAGTGGTCATTAAGTGGTTAAACAACCTTCTGGGCTGCTGGGAGAAAGAGACGGTGAGATGTGAGCATTGGAAGTGTGAGAGAATTGATCTCTCTGCCCAATGGGGAATTTCTTTTCAGTTCGGCTACCAATCGGGTAATAGCAAACAAAAGGTGTGGAAGTGCCCCCTTCTGGCATTTTGCCATCCTATGTTTCAATGCCAAATGAGCATATCCTTAGGCCGAGTGATCTCATGTCTAGGAATTTTCCCCACAGATGTAAGCAAAAATATCTGTGCAAGGATATTCCCGGCACCAGTGTTTGTCATAGAGAAAAACTGGACATAACCTAAATATCCACATTTGGGCACTACTTAAGAAATCTGTGATAAATCCATACCATGGAGTAGTATGCAGCGGTTAAAAAGATTGAGCTCGGCCTTTATAAACTGATGTCAAGATGTATTGTTAAGGAAAAAGAAAGCTGCTTAATAGTATGTTTGGCATTATCTCTATATTTATATGTATAGTAAAAAAATACCAGGAAGGAAAGAATTCCATACCATAAACAGCAATTATCTTGGAGGAATGAGACTAAAAATGAAGATAATGGTAGGTTTTAGTACTTTATTTTAAACTTTTCTGTACTCCAATTTTTTTGCGACCAATGTTTTTGTTACTTTTTTATGATGTTAATTTCCTGTGTCAACTTGACTGGGACATGGGGTGCCCAGATATCTGGTTAAACTTTATTTCTGGGTGTATCTGAGAGGGTATTTCCAGAGGTTAGCGACTGAATCGGTGGATTGAGTGAAGTGGGTCGCCCTCCCCAAGGTGAGCAGTCAGCATCCAATCCGTGAAGAGTCTCAGTAGAACAAAAAGGCAGAGAAAGAGGAAGTTTTCTCTCTGCCTGAGCGTCTGAGCTGGGACATCAATCCTCTCCTACCCTTGGGACTCCTGGTTGGAATCTCCATCCCCAGCTCTCCAGTTCTCAGGCCTTCAAACTACACCCGTGCCTTCCCTGAGCCTCCAGCTTGCAGACCGCAGGTCAGGGAACTTCTCAGCCTCCATAATCACATGAGCCAATTCCTTTTCATAAATACCATTCTAGATATAGATAGTGATAGAGACATAGATAAAATATAGATTTATAGATCTACATAGAGAGATGCCTACATCTATCGCCTTTGGTTCTGCAGAACTTTAATACCCTTGTATAATAACAAAAAATTAATTTAAAAAAATGTCCGTCTCTTCACAATGGGGGTAGAATCAGGGAAGGGCTAACCCAGAGTCTGCAATTGCTCAACACTTTTTGTTGAAATAAAGAATGAAAGAATCTGAGTATTTATTTTCCTTTACTGTTTCATCCGATCAATATTTATTATACAATTGTATAATAGGATTCATGGGGGTATTCTTAAAATGTATTTATTCTTTCAGTCCACTTACTATACAAATGCCCTGTGACAAGCATTGAATTCTAATTTAATGAGATTTATGTGACTTTAAAGGAATTTTTAAAAGAGTTGTTTCCAGAGATGTTTGAATGTGTTAGAAGTTACAATATAAAGTGCACATATTGGGATTCAGAGTTTTGTTACTTTATAGATGTGCTTCAGGACGTTAGGAAGGCGGGCCATAATAATCATGATAAGTTAAGGCTTACAACCTTGTTTGAAATTTTTAAATGGAGGCCTGATAGAATCACTTTCTCAGGGTAGGTTTCACATGGTTAATAAGTGCTACATTTGAATCTAGATCTGCCTGATTTCAAAGACCACGCTCTATTTTTTTTTAGTGCATCAGAATATTTTTTAAATATTTTTTTAATTTTTCAATTACAGTTAGCGTACAATATTATACTAGTTTCAGATATGCAATGTAGTGATTAGACATTTGTATAACTTACAAAGTGATCGCCCTGATAAATCTAGTACCCACCTGACACCACACATAGTTTTCACAATATTATTGACTATAGTCCCTGTGCTGTGCTTTGCATCCCTGTGACTACTCTGTAACTACCAATCTGTACTTCTTAACCCCTTCCCCCTTTTCACCAAGTCCTCAACCCCCTCCCATCTGGCGATCATCAAAATGTTCTCTGTATCTATGAGGGGTTTTTTGTTTTGTTTTGTTTGTTTGTTTTGTTTTTTAGATTTCACATATAAGTGAAATTATGGCATTTGTTTCTCTCTGTCTGACTTATTTCAGTTATTCTCTAGGCCCCTCCAAGTCGTTGCAGGTGGCAAGATTTCATTCTTTTTTTCATGGCTGAGTCGTAATCCATTGTGTACATGCACCACTTCTATATCCATTCATCTACTGATGGACACTTAGGTTGCTTCCATCTCGTGGCTGTTGTAAATAATGCTGCAATGAACACATGGATGCATATGTCTTTTTGATTTAGTGTTTGGAGTTTCTCAGGTAAATATCCAGAAGTGGAATCTCTGGGTCCTTCTTTGTCCCTTGTTATAGCCTTTTAAAGTCTGTTTTGTCTGTTATAAGTATTGCTACCCCAGCTTTTTTTTTTTTTTTTCCCATGAAATATCTTTTTTCCATCCTTTTACTTTCTGTGTGTGTCTTTGGATCTGAAGTGAGTCTCTTGCAGACAGCGTATGTAAGGTCATGTTTTCTTATCCATTCAACCACCTTATTACGTCTTTTGAGTGGAGCATTCAGCTCATTTACGTTTAAAGTAATTATTGATAGATATGTAGTTATTGCCATTTTATTATTCATATTTTTAATATTTTTTTTCTTCTTAAAGAAATCCCTTTAACATTTCTTGTAATACTGTTTTGGCGGGGACAAACTCCTTTAGTTTTTCTTGTTTGGGAGACCACTCTTTCTCCTAGAGCCCTTTTGTTATGACAACAAAATCCCAATTTTTTACCCAGGCAAAGAGCCACCCAGAATACAGGTTACACATCCCAGCCTCACCTGTAGCTGGGTGTGGCCATGTAACTAACTTCCAGGGTGTAATCTTTAGCAGCTCCTAGGAAACATTCCTGGGGGATTTCTGCCGAGGAGTTTCTGCCCCTTCTCCCTCCCTTTTTTCTCCCTGCTGGCTGGAGCACCAGCAGCTCTGTTGGGTAATGAGGTCAAAGTCTTGTGTTGAATACAGAAAGAGCATGAGTCCCTGAGAACCATGGAGCTGCCACACCAGCCCCAGACTGCCTGTCTCTAGACTTCATTTACATGAAAAAGAAATACATTTCTATTGTTTAAGTTAATATTAGGATTTCATTGCAGCATAACTTGGTCTTATCATACTGTTATAACACAGAGCCTTCAATCTGTCATCAGAAGTCCTAAAACTATGATCCATAGCAATTTCACCTCAAAATATCGGGGGGGGGGGCAAGGATCAGGGTACATAAGGCAACACCCATAACTATAGTGAGTTCAAAGGGAATAAATAATGGAATTCTTCCTGAAACAGTTGGTGCTGATCTCTGTTTGTGGTAAACACTGAGACTCAGTGCTCACAAAAATCAAATATTGACTTTCCCTTCACTTTGCTTAACATTCATGCTCAAAGCAATAAGCTAAAATGGAACGTGGAGAAGACAGGTCAAGAGAAAGTGCTCTGCCTACTTCTTCACAAGTGCAGTGTGGGGGCTAGTTCTTAATAAGCCTATTAAGAAATGTGGGAATTGAAGCAAAGTAAATAGTTTTGGATCATAAATGTATTGAGGACATACTTGAAACATCTTTTATAAACACTATTTTAAATGTATTATATTCTACATAGTATTTACTTAAAACTTTATTTTCTCTGTTTGAACCATCAAGGAACTTTACTAAAAATATTCTTTTGTTCATTTTAGGTCAAGATAAACTATACCCAGGAATTTTTAAAGTAAGGTTAACTTGAAAAAACACCAAGAGAAAAGCTAAGGCTTACAGCCTTTCTACCTCATTCAAAACCTTAAACAAGTACCTTATATGGTATTTAGAAAACAGAGATATAATACTGTATCATAAGTGGACTGTTTCTACTAAAATGTTTTACAGAAAGATACAGAATTTCATTATTATTGCTTTCATGCTGATTTTTTAAAAAAACTATATTATCATTATCATGTTTTATGATACAGGAAATAGCACTCTGAAATATGAAATTAACATTTAGGTTTGAAATTTCCCTTTTTTTAAATTACATTAAAAGGTTTATAAAAGCCAATAACTATCTACTTTAAGCTCTACATTCATTTCTTAAACATGGTTCTTCTAGCAAATCCTAACTAGTGATGACCTCCAAATGGGTCATTTTGGCTTAACATAATCTCATTTTTTTTCCTTTATAATACTTGACTCATTCAATTGCAATGTAACTATGGAAAAGAAGAGCAATTTTCAACAACAGTTAGCAGATAGAAACCAACTATGGACCTATGTATTTCAGAGGGTCCATAAACCGTGTACCCTAGGACTAGAGGTAAATACTAGATCACATTATAGTTGTTCAGTCAATTTTTGTCATCAGGGCTTTTGCAAAGTTATGCCACTTTTTGGACAACCACTCTTTTTTTTGAATATCAATGTTTTTGCCCAAAAACACATTAACTGAATATACTATAAGAAGCGAAAGTTTGACACTATGGCTTCAGGCAAAGACACGCTCTCCAATTTACCAAACACAACAGTCTCAAATCAGAAAATATCAAGTGGGACAAATTTGAATGGGAAGCCATGTTTGGATGATCCCCCCAATTTTTCTCTGCATATGTAACACCAAGAGAAAGGCATTAATAGGCAGTGTCTTCTATAGTACTCCAGTGTGTTTTGTATGTGTATTATTTCCATGAGCATTCTCATATTTAGGCTTATTTTGTCCTAAAGGTGTTTATCTGAGGTCTGCTGTTATGTTTGTGTGTGCGTGCAGTTTGAGTGCAAGATAACCAACCCATCAGACCCAAATGGTTCAGAAATTACCAAAGAAAATGAAGCACAAAGAAAAATGCGCCATTCAAAGAATGATTACCTTGCACACCTCCTCCACACTTAAGTCTTACCTTCTTCCTTTGGCAAGTGCAATAAACCTTTGCATTATATCTCATGTG